CTCTCCCCTTGGTCGAATCCCGAATGCGCAAAGCCACCGTCGTCTAGAAAAACAACTCTTACAGGATATGATCATCATCATATGACCACAGAGTCCAGGTCTCGTCCGTGCACAAGGAGCTCTTGGGAACAACGGTACCCGGTCCCAGCATCCCAGCCCCAGCCAATATACAATGTAGAGCTACAATGACCTAAGGAAATACTTGAAATTTTGAGTGCCCGCCAGAGCGCTGGCAACATGGCGCATGCCATTTGCTGTCTGGTCTTCCGTGCTAACTCCTGTCGTTGCCACGCGTCACATGACACAGACGCGCCAGCGTCCCCTTGTGTTACGTAGCAATCTCATTCTCTCAATATCAATCTCAATCTCATAGAGAGACAGGGGGGAAGAGGAGGGGATTAGATAGGAGAGAAAGGGAGGAAGTAGAATAATGTTACTACTAGTAAGTATGAACGGCTGCAAGTCATCATCCAATCCAAACGATAGAATTAATTAACCCCTGCCAGTCATCACATCCGGGGACTTTGTCAACCTTACCGGCTCACCGGCGGGGCCTTCCTCGCGTGGTTCCCCCCCTACTCCCATTATCATCATCATGCGGTGCATTCCTGCGGCTCCTACCACCCCGTCTCCCACACCTCCCTCCTCTCTAGCAAGACCGCGGTGCGTTTGCCCCTCACTCCGGCGATTCCTCCCCCCCCTGGTTCTCTTCGGAAAGACATTTTCATTTCCCCCGCCCGCCCCTTCACCGCGCTCCCTCCTCCCCTTCCCCATCACGGCCGCCTTCATCCACGCCGCCAACGAGTTTTCCCCGCCCCTGTCCTCTCCCGCCGCCGCCGCTCCGCCTCTGTTCATAACGGCGTCGCCAGCCACCAAGAACCCAGTGACCGTGGCACCCACTATCGCTACCTTGACAGAGAAGCCGACTACCCGCGTTGCAATGCGGAAAGCATGGCCAACGACCGCGCAGGCTCGACGAAGATTCTCCCGCCCATCATTATCATCGAGGCCGCGAGACGCCATCGCCTGCACCTTCGACGCGGCGGAGACGGACACTGTTGCCTCGTCCCCTAACGCAGTGCCCTGAGAGCACGAAGAATAGTAATCTAACATGCCGCCGCCATCGCCGAGTCCCATCCTCTCGGAAGCGCTGTCGCGCTGAGCCGACGGGACCAGTCTGACGACACCCGGCGGCAGGGCGTCGACACGAGAGTGATGAGATGCACTGGACAAAAGCTTGGTGGTGGACTGCAGAACCGACGACGGCTCGAAGCCTGATAAACCAGGGGGGGGAGAAAGACGGGCGCCATCAGCAGCAGCAGGAAGAGGAAGAGGAAGAGCAGGCACGGAACGCATGTGCGGCAAGGCTGGAGGGGGAGCGGCATGCGGAGCAGATATCCCTGACCACAGCTCTGGCCGAGATTCGATCGGCTCACCTGCAAAAGTCAACACCTCGTGTACCACCTCCCATTCGAGGCCGCGATGATCCCTTAGGCGCTGTAGCAGCAGTCTGCGACTCTCCTCCAGTTCCGCAAGCACGCCGTCTTTCTCGTGTTTCTGCTGCTGCTGCAGAATCTGCAATCGCTCCAGTTGATCCTCAAGGGACTCCAGTGCATCTTTGATCAAACCAAGATTGCGAGCCTCGATACTGCCGGCGATGGCAAGGCCTTTCTCGGAAGAAGGGAAACCAAAGCGCCGGGATTGGTAATGATCAACGTCCAAGTCGGTGGCAGAGACATCGCTGCGGGAATGGCTGTAGGCGCTTCTGGCAGATGCAAGGTCCTGATCTAGAACCGTGCTGGGGCTGCAAATGCCCCCATTGCCACCGAAAGCCAAATCAACCTTCAGACTTCTCTCGATGGCATCACTTATCTTTGCATGGAGCTCCGACGCCCGAGTTAAAACGAGATTAATCTCATCCGCTTCCATCTCCTTCTCTTCTTCACTTCCCTTCTGACTGATAAGTTGCTACTAGTACCGCTGTTCGGGTATCTCCTTGTGTTCCTTTGTCACAACCCCACCCTGCAACCTGTCTCTCTCTCTCTCCCTCTGAATTATCCGATCGAACATGTCTGTCTGTCTACGTGGGTCTGCACGTCCCTGTCCCTGTCTGTCAATGAGGGTCTCTTTGCCCCTCTCTCTCTCTCTGTGTCTGAGTGTGTGTGTCCGTCCAACACGCGTCCACACGGACGCGTGCACGTGCTCTCTATCGCGCGCTCGCGCGCTCGCTTTTTTTTCCCTTCTTTTTTCCCCTATCGGGAATGGGCCGCGCCACACTTCGCTGCCACGGAAGACGAACGCAACGACGGAGGGGTCGAGTAGGCAAGCCTACCCCTGTGACCCCATGTGGCCCGATGGCCCGATGCACCACTGATCAGAACAGATACCACACAGGATCTTAGCCAAAGGCCGAGAGAGGAATTGGGGCTCGCCAGACCGCTGTAGAAATCACACCCTTTTACAAAAAAAGAGCATTGAATTACTCAGTCACGACCAAGAAGGGGTGGAGTGCCCGTACCCGGCGAATGCCAGTAGCGTTCACCACGCATAGCACTGGGCGCCTGCGGACCTCGCCGCCGTGACGAGGACCAGGGTGGAGGAGATGCACGCTCCCCTTCGAGACAGCGGAGGTAGCACCTTAACGCATCTTCCTTATCAAACAGTCTTGTTCGCCCAGGTAGGCCAGGTAGGGTCGGCAGTACACCAAAGCCCAGTGAAAATCAGTTATATTATCCGACTTTCGGTGTTTTCGACAGTAAACTCACTCTTACTTCTCACCTCCAATCACTGCGTTGAACCTCGGTAACTTTTTCGAGTGAACAAGCAGGAGCCGGAAATCGGTGGTATTGTCACGTAGCCTCAATTGTTTAGACGAAACACTCCCTTCAGGGGGGAATGGTAGGGCGGCGATATCGAGCGTATTGGCTCCCGCGGGAAGTACAGCTATTGCACCCTGCTAGAGCGGCGAAAGGACAATGCGACTACGCTCGCCTCAGCTGCTCACAGTATCATTTTGCGTCGTCCTCAAGTTGTCTCTGTTTTGTTTCGTTTACTCGTGCGTGATATGCTCGCAAGGGCTCTCGGCTTCTGCGAAAAAGGCAGGAGTCGGTGCACTCAACAACGATTCTCTCAGATAGTATCACGACGACGTTTCTAAGGAGTTTCCTTGTTTGGGTTATCGAATCGCACGAAGTTCAAAATCGTTTCCAATCATCACGATAATTACCTAGGAGGGGACGCGGTTTATCCGTAGTTGTAGAAATATTGGAGGGAGGAAAAAAAAAAAATCCTACCTATTCGTACGGAGATCGGGACCGGCCACAATCAATACGCAATTACCTCTGGTGGGTCACAACTCACTTCTAATGTGTGGATAAATTAGAAACTCTCAAAATTTTGAAGACTGCCACAACGATAAAATATAGGAAGGAAAAACACAACATGGTTGTGAAAGCCTTTGCGTATATCAAAGATAGTATGGGAATATCGTGTGTCATCGATTCTTATTGAGTTTTCTTCTTACCAATAAGGTAGGAGCTCTAGTAGGGGGAAATTTTGGTCTTTTGTAGATCGGTTTGAGACAATCTCACTATCGAATCGCTTATTGTGAAGCCTAGTATCTGCTTCTGGTCAGGTCAGGAGGGGGTTTCAAACCTCCTCACGTGGGAAAGTCTCATGAAACTCACGATCAATAACAAACCCGCCATTGTTTGGGAACCGCACACTCCCTCGCCTTTTACACACATGGAGATAGACGATAACTAGGCAAACAGACGAAACCTTAGTGAGTATAACCCTCAATAAGAATTTCCGGTCATGCGCCTTTACAAACGATTATGACCAGAGGAAATATCTTAGGAAAGCTCACTACTAGCTCAAGACATCGATTTCGTCCGCAAAAACAAAAAATACAAAATTCAAACGAAGGTTGAGTGCAAGACTTACATAAACCTTTAATGCTCCGTGCACAGGAAGCACGAGTTAGAGAGTCGGTAAGGCAGTGCTATAATGAAGGTATCTGCTCGGATAAAGTAGACTTGGGCGAAGTGGTGGAATACAAAGAGGGAAAAAGACTTGTAGTGAACGAAGCGGTGAATGAGATAAAGGAACAATGGTTGAAATAGAGCACTTTTACTATAGTATTACAAGACGAGGCAAAATGAATGTCTAAATAGTTGAAGGAGGATTTGGTTCGAGCCTTCCAAAATGAGTGGTTCACGCACAGACTTTTGAATCCATAAATCAAATGTGAAAGAGTTCGGTTAAAAGGTCACAGTGTCATGTCGAATGTGGCAAAGGAGAGTGGAGTTTTATAATGGTTGATTGCTCATGGTGAGGATAGACTAGAACTGCAAGGTAAATAATATTGTGTATTGTTTAAACCATGGATGACTCGCTACGAGCTGAAAGAGCTCTAACTTCAAAAAACGAAAAAAAAATTTAGTAGTCGATTTACGGATTCAACTTAACGCGCACTATTATTTAAAAAGTGTTATCAACAAAATGTTTGGGGTAGTTCTACAGCTGCAACCCCCGGAATTCGATCTCTCAAGGTCAAAACTAATGAACGTTAAGCCAGGTCTGACCGTATAAGCCAAATTATGAATGAATGCGAAAACTAATGAATATTAAGTTAGATCTAACCTCATAAAGCAGATTTCAGGTGAATTACGAAAGATAATTAATGAAGACTGTATATTTCAACGATGCGAGAGATAATTAATGAAGACTGTATATTTCATCGATGCGAGAGATAATTAATGAAAACTGTATATTTCATCGAGTCTATAATGAAACTATTCTTATACATGATACACTGAATGGGAAAACATTTATTGTACGACAAAACACTTCAAATTTTACTTGGTATATTTCTATAAATTATAGATTTATATCCCAAAGTGCATTCGATGGTTCAGTATCGAATTACACTTACGAATTTTCGGTATTTACTTTGTCAATTTATAAATTTATATCTCGATGTAGGGTAACCGACGTTCGGTATGGGCTAAAAGCCCGAACCCGAACGCCCAACCGTATGGGCCCCTTTGGGGATGCATTCGGTTGTTCAGGGCAAATACTGACAAAAAAAAATAAATAAATCAAAAAATTTATAGGCTACTACCCGGGCCGCCTGGATCCCGGGTGGCTAGCCCGTGCAAGAACCAAGGAAGTTCCCAGCAAAAAAAAAACTTAAAAAAAAAAAAATTAAAAATCCGAAAAAAAAAACTATATTATGCAAAAAAATAAACTGAACAACGTTTGCCCCAGGGTCACATCGAAATTCTGCACCAAATTTAGAATACAAAATAAAATTTTAATTTTTTGATTTTTGTTTTTATTTTCTAATTGTTTTTGGCCCGGCCGGGCAAGTGACCCCGGGCTACTCTGATAGCTTAGAAAAAAATTGAAAAAAAAAATATTACGAAGAAAAATAAATCAAACAAGATTTGTCTGAGATTACATTCAAATTCCTTATCAAATCTGAAATTAAAAAAATTACGGAGAAGAAATACTAATAGTAAATAAAATAACAATAATAAAAAATAATAATTAAATTAAGTGTGTACGCAAGCACGTCTTCGACACCGCCATCTTTGACGATTTTTTTTTTTTTTGCATAGCTAAATGTAATGAAAATTTACAGAGGTGTACTTCATATAATAAAAAACCCACTAAAAAAAATTCAAAAAGTAATAAAATTATTTAGACCCCAAACTGATGTAAAAACGGAAAGTAAAAAGTGAAAAAAACGTGGGCAAAGACGTTTTGACACTGCCATCTTTGGCAATTTTTAGTTGTTATTTGGCTAAGACAAATGGCGTCAAAATTTACAGGCATGTACCACAGGTCATAGAGAACTCACAAAAACAAATGCAGACAAAAACAATTATTTTCATACCCCAAAATAAGATTTGGCGGGGGTCGAACACCGTCGGATTCAGACCCGTACGAGACCCCGTACATACGACCTGGTGACCTTGTCCTGAAGTACATCCGGTGTCGAACTATAGTTTTGTTTTTTTCAGTGTTTACTTAATGTATTTTGTATCAATTAAAGATTTATATCCATAAAGTTTCAATTTTTAATTACACTTCGGGATTCTTAGGGTTTACTTAGTATATTTTTTATAAATTAGATATATATATCCCTAAAGTACATTTGGTGTTTTGGTACCGAATTACGCTTCCTAATTTTTTATGTTTACTTTGTCAATTTAGAGATGTATATCTCGAAGTGTATTTGGTATTACAATACCGAATTACACTTCGAAAATTTTAAGGTTTATATATTTTATATCAGTTTCAAATTTGTATCCTGAAGTGTATATCCGATGTTTCGGGGTGTCAAATTACACTTTCGAATTTTTAATATTTATTTTGTCAATTTGTAGATGTATGTCATGAAGTACATTCGGTGTTGTGATACTGAATAACACTTCAATATTTTCAGTGTTTATTAAATATATTTTCAATCAATTAAAGATTTATATACGACAGTACATTCATTGTCTCGATACCGAATTACACTTCACGATTTTTTGTATCAAGATATTTTTATTCCGAAGTACATTAAGTATTTTGATATTAAATTACACCTCAAGATTTTCGATGTTTACTTAATATATTTTCTTTCAATCATATATTATATCCTAGATTATATTTGGTGTTTCGGTATCGAATTACACTTCGATATTTTTTTGTACTTACTTTGCCTATTTAGAAATTTACATCCCAAGATGTGTTCGGTGTTGGTACCAAATTACACTTCGGGATTTGATTTGTTTACTTAGTGCATTTCATATCAATTACAAATTTATATCTCAAAGTAAATTCGATGTTTCGATACCGAATTACACTTCAAGATTTTCGGTGTTTATTACTGTATTTTATAGGCTACCGGAGCGGTCCGGGTCCATTTGCCCGGTCAGGCAAAAAAAAAAAAAAAGATTATATATTTTTTTAATTTTTATTATAAATTTAGTAAAGACATGGGTTATTGGCAGCATCCGGCAAAGGTCGCTGGAATAATGTGTCTGACTTACTTCTTTGGGAATAAGTTGATAGGTGTTTTCGTTTTCTGCCTTTTGCCAGTTTTTACGCTTCGTTTGAGTCTTGCTGTGTTTGACAACTACTGAGCCAAACATCATTGGCGTGTTTGCTTGGTCTGTCTCCGACAGACGAATGGGCAGGTTCTTATTAAAAACAATCATTGACACGGTGTTCAGTCTTTTTGGGTTCAACGTCAGGGACACTCACCGCATTTCCGGAGATGCGTGTAGTGCACCCCCCAGAGGTGGGGAGTGTGGAAAGTTAGAAAAGTGTAGGGAGAAGT